ACTCCTCCCTCTCTCTCTTTCTATTACACTCTTTTTGGACTAGCCAATATTTTGTGCCTGATCCCCAATGTGGTACTTGTTACCAAACTTGGCTAAATACAGCATTCTCTCCATTTCATGTTTCTCATTTTCCTTCCGTCTGACATAGAGCACGGCTCCCTGCGGGTACAGACTGACCCTCTGACTCGTGCACCCACCCGCAAAGCCACCACGCGGGAGGGGCCCGAGCTCACTTCCCGCCCCCCAGGAGGGCCCGTAGGCCCCCTCCCAGGGACTCTTCCCTCAAGGAAACCACCTCTTACTCTGTCATCATTGATTAGTTTGGCCTGCGCTTGGACTTCCCATCAGTGGGATCACGCAGCACAAACCCTCCTTTGTCCACCTTCTTTGGTTCCACGTGACTTTGGCGAGATTCATTCATGTTGTCAGATGCAGGGATTGGCTGTTTTCACTGCCGGACAGAATTCTATACACAATGTATGCATCCAGCTCCTGGAGGTGGACTGCCCGGTTTGGGGCCCCCAGGGAGAACTCCGTCCATAAGCAACCATGCGCACATCTTTGGTGACCATCGCACTGTATTTCTGCTGGGCGTAGGTCCACATGTGGAACCACCAGTGGACTGTATCCCGAGCAATACGCACTCCTGGTGTTCCAGAGTCTTTGGGAATCTCCGCGCCTCGAGCCCTCCAGTCTCTCCTTTGATCCGCACTGGAGCTCCGATGGAGCCTTCGCCCCTCCCCCCCCCCATTTTGCAGAAGGGAAGCTAGCGGGTAGAACGTAGGAAGCATTTAGTGAGCAGTTTCTATATGCTGGTACCACACCAGGACAGATGACAGAGCATTCACTGAGGACCTTCTGTGTGCTGGATCTGTGCCAATAAAGTTCACAGAGCATTTATGGAACACCTTCTGTATGCTGGATCCGTGTTAAGTGTACTTCACTGAGGATTTGTGAGCACCTCCTCCCTGCTGGATCCGTGCCATACAGTTCATAGAGCATTTGTTAAGCACCTTCTGTATGCTGGTTTTACACTGTGAACTAGGGACAGTGCATTGGGGTGACCTGGCCCTGCCCTCAAGAAGCTCACAATCCAGAAGGCATCGAATCCAAGCAGAAATCCCAATACAATACCATGTGATTAGTGCTCCTCATCCTTCCGGGAAACATTCAGGAGCACCTACTCTGTGCCGGCTGGAGTTGAGAGGAGGGACACAGCATAGTGTGAAGGCTTCCAAGAGAGGACAGGCTCCCCAAGGCTCAGGCACACCCTGATGTCCGAGTGCCTGGCAGAGCACCCGGCCCCATAGCGGGCACCGGCAGACAGGTAACGAGGGATAAGTGAGTTTACCAGATGAAAAGAGAGGTAGGAGAGGGAAGGGTGCTCCTGGCCCAGGGAGCAGCAGACGGGAATGTGCAGAGCACATGGCAAGCAGCCCAGTGCGTGCAGGGCAGTGTTATGAGCTGAACTGTGTCTTCCCAAAATTCCTATGCAGATGTCCTAACCCCCAGTACCTCAGAAAGTGACCTCATCTGGAAACAGAGCTGTTGCAGATGTCCTCAGTTAACATGAGGTCCCACCGGAGGAGGGCGAGCCCCTCATCTGCTACGACTAGGGTGCTTATGGGAAAAGGAGAGCCACAGAGCCGAAGCCCATGAGACAATGGAGACGCAGACTCCACCGTGATGTGACCACGAGCCAAGGGACACCTAGGGCTGCTGAAACCGCCAGAGGCTGGGAGACAGGCACAGAAGCTTCTCCTTCGGAGCCTCCAGAAGGAATCAAACCTGCCATCACCTCAATTTTGGACTTCTGGCTTCCAGAGCCGAGAGACCAAATTTTTGTTATTTTAAGTCACAAAGCGTATGGTCACTTGTTACTGTAGCCCTGCAGACACTAAGACAGGTTCGTGCGGTGTTCATCTTGATAGGTCCTGCCCAAGAGCCCCCAAGGGGGCTGTGCCAACGGGACTGGGGGGCGACAGATGCCAACTGCGCAGGGACACAGCTGACGCCTTTCTCCAAGGTGGGAAACCGAGCCTGGGGCTGAGGGAGTTCTTGTCCACCTGCCATCAGGCGCGGCCCGGCCGCCCTCTCCTCTGCTCCCTTAACAAACACAAATAAGCCACCCACGGTGCCAGCCTCACGGGTCCAAGGGCAATGTCGCGTTGCCGTGGCGACCCGCGATGGGCAGTTCTTTATTTGTTTCTGGGTTCCACAAAACCCTCCTTGTCTCTGCCCCATGCTGCAGCCGCTGAACAGAAGAAAGGCGGGCCGAGAAAGAGGCCGGGAGGCCAGACCCCAGGGCCGGGGGCAAACGCCCAAGAAACAGAGTTCCCACAACCCTCCAGAACCAAGAACTTTTTCTTTCCCTCCTTTTGGCCTACTTTCTTTCTTCGGAGCCTCTAGGCAGACATTCCTTAAGAGGACAATGAATTGTTTTCTTGAGGTTTCCACTTTCCCTTTGCATTTACCTACAGTATAATTTTTTTCTTTTTTTAGCTACCCAGTTTCATGAGTCTGGGCAAATGAAGACTGCCATGTCACAATCCCACAACCAAGACAAATAACAGATCCTTCATCCTCCCCAAACGCCCGCACACGCTGGGCCCCCGGTACCTGTCTCCAGGCGCGTAACCACCACCCCGTTCTCTGCCCCTACAGCTTTGCCTTTCCAGAATGTCGCATAAATGCAGTCACGGGGTCGGCCTGCAGTGTTTTTGTTTTGGGATTTTTTTTAACGTCTAAAAAGAATCTATTTTATAAAGTCAAAGTGCATTCTTGCATGGAAAGAAACTGCTCTGAACGCCAAGCAGGGATCTACTTAGTTCTATTTATTTATTTATTTTTTTTTTTAAGATTTTATTTATTTATTTGAGACAGAGAGAATGAGAGACAGAGAGCATGAGAGGGAGGAGGGTCAGAGGGAGAAGCAGACTCCCTGACGAGCAGGGAGCCCGATGCGGGACTCGATCCCGGGACTCCAGGATCATGACCTGAGCCGAAGGCAGTCGCTTAACCAACTGAGCCACCCAGGCGCCCTACTTAGTTCTATTTAAAATGCACCTAAGACAAACTTGTTTTATACAAGGAGAAAATGGGCCTTCCTAAATCACACATTACTGTCTTGACGATTATGCTCAACACTTCCATCTTTTTTTTTTTTTTTTTCCTGCATAGCCTCTTGAGTTCGGCTTTTTTCACTGGGCATCACGCATGTGAGGTCCATCCATGTTTGTTGCCGTGTTCCAATGGCTCCTTCCTTTTTACTGCTAAGCGCTATTCCATTGTCTGGATGTACAATGGCTTGTTTATCCATTCCCCAGTAGAGAGATAATGGAGTCATTTTTAACAGATGAAACATATAGATAAAATTTAGAATGTTCTAGAACAGAGCTGACAGTCAAGGAGCAGCCTTCAAGATTGTGGGAAGTTTCTCTCCAAAGAGTCGATATTTCCAGCAGGCTGTCACTAGTTAAACTAAAGGAGGGAAGTGAGCCTTTCTGCCTCCTCTCTGGAGAACAGAATCACCATTCCGCGGCCAGCCCTCTGTTTAGATGACTGTGGGGCCATGGCATTTGTGGGGGATGGGGAGGGCAACTCCATGTGGAGAGCTCCCAAACGGAGTCAGGATCCAGAGTCCAAGCCAGCAGGGAGGCAAGGACAGAGGCTGAATTCCCATCCTGAACAGGACGGAGGAGGGGCTTTGGATCTGGGCACAGCTGCGTGGAAAATCTGTGCAGTGTCACTTAGGTGCTGTGAGACCTAGGGGAAATTACTTCCCGTCTCTGGGCTGCAGCTTCCTTGTATGTAAAAGGAGATACTACTACCAACCCTACCATGAGATGATATGGCTCAAGAGCGCAGTGCCTGGGTGGCTCAGTCGGTTAAGCATCTGACTCTTAATTTTGGCTCAGGTCATGATCTCATGGGTTGTGGGATCAAGCCATGTCAGGCTTTGAGCTCAGTGGGGAGTCTGCTTCTCTCTCTCTCTCCCTCTCCCTCTGCCCCTCCCCCTGCTCATGCTCTCTCTCTCTCTCTCTCTCTCTCTAAAATAAATAAATAAGTCTTTAAAAAAATGGCTCAAGAGGCCACACAGGAGTGCCTGACATGCAACAGGGCTCAAAGAATGGGCATTCTTTTTACATCTTCCTGGAGAGCCCCCCAAAGAGTCCAGAGACCATTTTCTTACTGGTGGTTGACCCATCCAAATACTTCCCATTAAAGCCCACAACATCCTCGCAAAGTAGATATTATTATTCCAATTTGAAGGTGAGGCCATACGAGGTTAGGCCAGTGGTCCTCAATCTTGGTTGCACACGGATGGGTAGATCAACAAAACATGATCCATCCATATGATAGGATAGTATTCAGCAGTAAAAAGGAAGGACATTCAGGTACCTGCTACACATACAAATCTCAAGCACAGGATGCTGTCCCATGAGTGGAAGAAGCCAGACACAAAAGATCACATATTATAGGGTTCTATGTATATGAAATATCCAGAATAGGCAAATCCGTAACGACAAAGAGATTAGCGGTTGCCCCAGGCTGGAAGGAGCAACCACTTAATGGGTACAGGTTCTCCTTTTGCGGGGATGGAGATGTTTGGAACCAGACAGAGGCAGCAATTGCACAACATTGTGGACTGCACTCGGCCACTAAACTGTTCACTTTAAAACGGCAAATTTTGGGAGGCACCTGGGTGGCTCAATCGGTTAGGGATCCGATTCTTGATCTCAGCCAGGTCTTGATCTCAGCTCAGGTCCTGATCTCAGGGTCGTGAGTTCAAACCCCGTGTTAGGTTCCATTCTGGGTGTGCAGCCTACTTTAAAATAAAAATAAAATAAAATAAAATGGCAAATTTTATATGTCAATTTCACCTCAAATTTTTTTTTTTAATGCTAAGGAAAAAAAATCTCCTGGGAAGCTTTGAAACATGCCAATCCCCCGGCTACATCCCAGATCAAATAACCCGGAACCTCTCTCTGTGGCTGGGACCCAGGCATCAATATTAAAGCTGCTGGGTGACAGCAATGGGCAGCGGAAGCAGGGACGCACTGAGTGAGATACATGAAAAGCCAAGCTGCTAAACAGTGAGTAACACAGAACTGGACAAATCCCAGTAACAGGAATTAATCTGAATATCTAACAACAGGTCGGTGGTAAAGGCATACAAAGATGCCTGGAAAAAAAAGAGGAGAGATGGATGGAATTGGGGTTTCTGGTCACAGAGAACTTTGGCTGCCCCTTATTTTTTTGAATTTGTAAGATTGGGTGAGAGATCAAAGGAGATTTTCCATTGACCTGTATTGTTTGAATTTTTATGGGATTATATTCA